TTTCGTTTTTAGTCTTTAGTTTTTGAAAAGACAAAAAAAAAAAAAGGGGGCTTGTTTGGCAAAATTTTCTGATTTTTTTTTTCTTTTTCCATCTCAAAACAACATACTCTCTAAGAAATGTCAAAAAGTTATTTTTGATATAAAAAATGAAAACTATAAGTGTTTTTGAACTTTTCATGATTATTGCTTTAAATATGTAGGTTAGAAGCTATCTGAAAAAAACATATGGATTGAGGCTGTTCCATTGTGTTTTCATTTTTAGGGTTGGTTTGGGATGTTCTAAAAAAGTGCACTTTTTAACTTATTGATTTATATGGGTTGGGTTTGGATTGGGTTTGATGTGATGTGTTAGAGAGGTGATGTGATTTAAATAAGATGATGTGACTTAAATAGGATAGTGACTTTTTGACTTTTTGTATTATTTAGGACATGACAAACCAAGCTTTTAGTTTTTGAAAAACAAAGAAAGACTTGTTTGGCAAATTATTGTTTTATTTATTTATTTTTTTCTTTTCAAAACAACATACTCACTAGGAAATATCAAAAAGTTATTTTTGATATAAACAATGAAAACGATGTGTTTTTGAACTTTTTATTATTTCGACAATGCTAGGTAACTCAAATTTTTGTGGCTCAAATGGCTCAAATCTATCAAAACGACGTCGTTTTGACAGATTTTGAGTGTAAAACGACGTCGTTTTAACAGATTTGAGCCATTTGAGCCACAAAAATTTGAGCTACCAAACATTTTCCTTATTATTTTTGGTTTTAAAAACATGAAATACGAAAATAAAAATATAAATGAATACATAACTAAAACGGATGGAGGTTTTTTTCGGGTAAGTAAAAAAAAACGGATGGAGTTCAAGTTTGGTTGTGTCTCCATTTTCCATTTCCTGTTTTAATTTTTCAAAAAAACATGAAAATTGATTTACTACTTTTAAGATCTATACTATATATTAAGCAAAAGGAGTTTTTAACCCCATGACCTGTGGGAGCTCCAATCTCTGAATCCTAATTTTCTAATTTTTTGATTTAAAAAAAAAAAAAAACCTCAACATTTATTGACTTCTCCCCACCCAACCTCAGTATTTATTGATTTTTCCCAACTCACAAACCTTTTTGAATTCTCTCATAGTTATTGCAGCACCCTTTTTAACTTCTCCCATACACTATGGTTAGCGATGAGATTGTTAAATTATTTTTATAAAAAATCTAAAAAAAATAATTTGTATATTAAAAAAAATCCAAAACAAATATAAATATCTATATCTATCCCA